CAACAATCACAGGAATTACAGAAGGCCTCTCTGAAACACTGCTACTAAGATACCTCAAGAACAGAGGCACTAAAGCAGTCTATATTCCCAAAAGAAGAAGTAGCTACATGAAGCAAATAGCAAGAGTGACTTTTGCAAGCAAGTGAGAAAAAGAAGAAGCTCAAAGAAAATCGGTTAGATATAACAATCTGATTCTTCATTGGACACGACCCAAGCAAGAAGCCTACACTTCATCTAAAAACTCTGCAGATGGAAAAGAAAAGTTTAGCAACAATAGAAGTGAGAGGAGAGAGTCCAGTGATGAAGAAATGAAGACCTTCTGAAAAAGAAAAGATAACCACTATGCAATGACAACAGAAGATGAAAAAGAAGTTAATATCAACCTGGTTTCAGACAGTGACAAAGAAAATACCAGGCATTTCAAGAAGAAGAAGAACTTCTCTAACTCTGGGAAAGATGAAATAAAATAGAAAGATCCTAAAGCAGATAAGCAATTCTTGAACTGATATGTGAATCCCAAACTAGAAAGTAAAGAAGACAAAGTCTCTTACTTAGAAAATAGAATTAATCAGCAACAATAAATACTGCAAGAAATTCTGCGATGACTCAAAAATCTGAGTGAGCAACCAAGAGTTGCTCATTGCTCCTAAATTAGGAGCAACAGTTGAATCATATAAAAATGGCAAAAGAATTATCCCCTTTCTGCAAGAAGATGAGATGGAGGAAACAGATCATAAAGATAATCATTTGCTAATCAGAGAACACAAAAGACAGAAAGGACAAGAAGGTAGTACACAAATATCTGACGATCTGAGAAGAAAGTATAAATAATATAAATAGTGTGAACAGCAACTACATGGGAAAAAAAACAGAACTTACTATAGCAATACATAATATTAAGGTATCAAGAGCAATACACACAAATTAGACTTTTTATATGAATGGGCATCAGATAATGCAATAGATATTCTAGGAGTTGCCGAAACAAACATTTTAAGTAAAGAAGGAATGTGGATAACAAAAGAACAAACAAATTATAGAAGCTTCTAGTCAAGTTCAAACAAAGACAAGAAGAAAGGCTCAGGAGTTAGTTTATTGATAAATGAGCAATGAGAAAAATATATAGGGCAAATAGATAAAATTAACAAATACATAATCTTAGTAAACTTAGTTCTCAAGCAACTAGAGATTATAATAATAATGCTATATATTTCCCCAAATAATGAACAAGAAAAAAAGAAGATACGAAGAACAATCATTGAGAAGTACATCAACCGTTCTCTCAGATCACAGGTAATAATAATGGGAGACTTTAACAACATAATTAATACAGAGCTTGATAGAATTTCAAGTATAAAATATATCAAACGAGACTCAATTTTAAACTGGCTACAAAAACAAGAATTTGTCGATGCCTTCAGAGCAATTGATCCAAGAGCTAAAAAGTTCACATGGTCTAACAAAGATACAAATACAAGAATAGATCAAATATGGGTCTTCGACGAACTTTCTTGCAGTTTATTCGACGCATAAATACAAGAAATAGATGTATAAATGAACAGTGATCATAGTTCAATGATAGCCAGAATTGATCTCAAGTATCTTAGTACTACAAAGAGTGCTACAGCATGCAAAAGAGAAAAACAAACTCAAACAGTCTTTTTCTGTGAGAAAGCATTCAAAGAAAACTGGAAAGAGTACAGAAAACAGATGGACAGTCTTCTTAAAAAAAGCATATATATAACATGTTTAGTAATAAAAACTTAGCAACAAAAAGAATTATTTTCAGAACTAGATGAGCTTTAGGATGATATAAGTAAAGCAATACTTTCAGTGGCAAGATACAATTTGCCGAAAAAGAAGATCTGTAATACAATACAAAACAAAAAGAAAAGTGCTAAAGAGTCCAAATTATCATACTTCCTAATACAATTGGGCAGATAGATAAATATAGAGAAAAAGAACATTAAACTAGGTTTACTGTCAGAAAACATTCTGGATCTGATTACAGAAATAGAGTTTAGAAACTAGCAACATAGTACAAATATCAACAAGGTCATAATGACTTGGTCCTATGATCTTATTGATGATCTCAAAGGCTGGTAGAAAATACTCTTTGCAAGAATAGCAAGTGAAACTGAACAACAAAAGAGAGCTGAAATAGAAGAAAATATCGAAAGAAAATACCAGATGATTGATAGAAAACAAGGCAGAATGATTGCAAGTCTGTTAGAAAAACCTTTTAAGAAAATTCAAATCAACAGACTACTTGTAAATTATGAACTCCAAAGAGAACTAATTACTAACCCAAAGGAGGTTTGTGAAAAAACAAGAGAGCATTTTCAGAATCAATTTAGATCCTGACAATTCAACCAAAAACTTTGGAAAAAAAATTGGAAAGAGATATACAGCCAAGAGATAGAGGATAGACCTCTCTTTAAAAAAAAAAAAAATTAATGTATCATAAAATTGCTTATATCTTAATAATTTATTAAAGAAACATATTTTTATTGCTTACAACAAAAATACTCCTTGCTTCTTTTACAAACTCTTTGCAAAATTTTTTTACTTTTACCCTACTTTTTTTCTTTAATTCATTTTTGTATAACCTCAAATCACTTCCAAAATTAGATTTAATTAATTTTCCTTTGTGTAAATTAATTTTTCCTTAAACAGTATTAATTTTTCTACAAAAAATTATTGGTTCCTTTTATTTTACACAAATTCTAAACTATTACACAATATTTTATACAACATGTAACTAATTTTTGTACACACTAGCCACACTAGCTACAAGCCACACTAGCCACACTCATATTACCTTAGATTACCTAGGTTACACAAGGTTACACAAGCCGCAGCAGCCACAGTAACAGCCCCAGAAATAACATATTACACTGCTCAATACCAATTTAACAACTTAGCTAAATAACTTGAAATTCTATTAAGTAAAAGAAACTTGTGTCTTTAAGTAAACATATAACAAATCCCTTATACTCTCTATTCAACTATATTGCATACTACAAAACATGATGCCTACTCCTGTAGCTCAAACTCCAGACACTTTAGATCTTGATTACTTTTATACTCACTATACTGGATCTTTCAGTATAGCAATTTATGAAGAATTTTAACCTGTCACCTGTTTTACCAAAAAAACTTAGAAACTACTCAATAATACATTTATTACCTGTTCCACCAACTACCCAAATAGTTACATGTCTATGTGGCAGTTTTTATACAAACTTCGAGTCCGAAAAAAATCAAACTTACAATATTCAAGTAACTGCTAGTCCTACAAGATCTAATAAACAAACTAAAAAGCTTAACTCTATATTACAATCATCAACTCAAACAGTTCCAGCCTCTCCAACTCCTATTCCTGAACAATATACATGCTCTAAATGCTGGGGTGCAATAATCTGCAAAAAAATTAATAATATTCATCACCTTACAAATGATGCCATATTCCAAGACAATAATGCATATCATATTGATTGCCTCCAACAACTTCAAGCACAAGAACAGAACATACCACTGATTACAACTGCCAACTCTCTTGATACATTACTCCTACTCATATCAACTTCTAACAATATACACTCAACAGAAATGGAAATAGACGAACCAGTAACCTCTTCACCTCTTCTTTAATAAAACAATCTAACCCTGAGCAAACAACATCAAATGATAAACAATTGAACAATCAAAACCAGACCAATACCAAATCTAAATCTAATTTAGCTTTCGACTGGCTTGCAAACTACCCAATTACAGAAACAATGGAACCTAATAAGAGACTTCAAACAATACTCTCCTATCAACTACTATCTTTTCTTAAAAAATTTCTATATAATTTCTATCCTAGCAAAAAAATTAAACTAGCAAGAATAAACCAACAAGGTAATATAATTAGACCTGCTATAAAAGCAAACTTTCAATATCTTATTCGCATAATGGCTGCAGACAAACCCAAATTTCTTACAGACCTTATTTATCAAAGCAACCCCGACATAACTTCTGAGACCCCAATACCATTCTTATTTTTAGAATTATCTCTTAAAAACCTTATTCTTAAATTTACTACTATACTTTTTACTAAATTTAATTACAAAAAAATATTTGCGTCAGCAATATCTATTTCACTATACAAACCTGAAAACAGACTACAAGCATGTCTTAATCTAGCACATCTACATCTTTATCTATCAAACAACTATCAAACTATAAACTATAACAAATTTGCTAAAAACTTCAACTTCAGACCAAAACACTTTAAAGTTACCTCCAAAATTGAATCAACTAATAAAGACAAACTAATCTTCTTATTTAAAGCAAATCAAAAATTTAATATTACTATATTTTTTAATCTTCCTAAAACTACTTTTTTCAAAAAATTTAATATTCTCTCACTTAATAACTTCTTCACCAACCTGGACAAGTGGTTTGAATCAACATTCATAACATATTGTCATCAGTTTTCTACAACATCTGATAAAGACGAAGTAAACAAACATATTAAATCTCAGATTCGTAAAGAACTTGTATTCAACCTCTTAAAATTCTTTTCTGAAAAATTTGAATTTAATAAATCTGAGACTACATACGAACGAAAACTTCTTTTATCCAAATTTACCAATTCCATACCCTTACTTGTACTGACAAAAAAAAAAAACTACTTACATAACAAAGAAACATTATACAAGGCAACTCTAGAAAAATCATATGAAACATACCCAAAACAACCTACAGAAGACAAATCAACTCTAAAAATACCTTCTCTT